TTCCTCCTCGTCTGTGTATGTTCTGGGCTGGCGCTGTCTTCCTGTGTGAAGCGCCAGACCCATTCACACTATGAAACGATGATGATGATGTATGTTCGGGGCTGCATTACAACATTGATTGTTCGGATCACTGGTATCTAAGTCTTCCGCTGTGTTATCTTGTACTTTGTATTGAAAGGTCGGTTCTTGTTCTGGTCTGCACGTTACAGTATGCAACAAATAGCCTCTCGAAAATGGCTTCTATGAAGTTCTATCATGATCTATGGCCCAAGGTCTGATTACCTTTTTTCTTGCAGTGGAGGTGGAGCTGCGAGATGAACGAACCTGAAGTTGAAAACAACATATAACTATCTAGCACACCGTTGACCATTTGACTGAGAGGGTCAAACGCTACGTGGACAATTTCCAATTTTCGACACCACCCAAACAGGACGCAACAGCTCCTCATCTCTTCTCTGTGAGCCCTGTCAGCCTTAACTCTTGCCGGGGGGAAAAGGGAAGGGAAAGGAAGGGGAGGAAAGGAGAGGCAGAGGGGAGAGGCCAACCTCTCCCCTTCTTTTTTCCTAGTTTGCCAGGGGGAGGGAGAGGAGGGGAGGAGGGGGGGAAGGGAAGAGCTATTGGAGGGGAGGGGTGCGGTGTGGGGGGGTGAGTTAAACCATTTATAAGGGGGACTGTCAACTGATTGGCAAAACCTTTCCCCCCCCCAACCAACAGGCTTCTTTTTTTCGATTTTTTTTTCCATCATTAGTTTCTCTGGGACTCCTTTTTTTCACTTTCTTGGTCATGGTGTAGGTGAATTCTTGCTTTTGAACTTGGAAGATGGAACTGAAAATTGACCTGAGGATCGGTGCAGCGAATGCCATCAATCCACTCCATCACCAGAACACGGGAGCTGCTTAGCTCCTTGTAAACACGAGGAATCTTGACTGTTGGATCACCCTCGAAGTTTCTGTAAAAATCCTCGATGTTGCGTGCCTCCTGCAAAACAAAGCAGCCATCTCATTTTTAGTTCATCATTCCCGAGAATAGCTAGAAAAATAGGATGTCACCAGCAGTCAGCCTGTACTTGTAAGTTTTATAACTAAAATGAAAATGTAAATCATTTCAGGCTTTAGAAACCACAAAGCAGTTTAGTGTTACTATCCTGGCCATTTCCAAAGTACACATTCATGAGAAAGTACAATGCCGTCCAATTGCAAAAAGAAATGAATGAACTTGAGAGGCGAGAGAGGGAAAGAAGACGAAGAAGACGAAAGAAAGAAGAAGAAGAAGATGTACACCAGCAAAGACCAATGGCAATTCCCTTTTTCTCGCCAACCACTCTCCTCCTCCTTTTTCTCCTCCCCTCTTATTCAAACAATAAATACTAATCATAATGTTGAATGTCTGAACCAGAATCAATGTCCGAATCCCTCTTCTACTGCAGGCACAACATGAGGTCCACCATAGCCATGGCCACCCTTCTCCTTCCTCTTCACGTACGGCGAGGCTATGGTGGACTACTAGGGCCTTGACCAGCTGTGCGAAGGACAACTCAAAGCAGCTATGCCCGCTGCTATTCACACTGCCATGCATGACTCTGCCTTGAAGCCTTCTTGGTGCGGCGCAACCGCAACTGGGGCCTTCCATATGCAGCACCTAACAAGGTGAAGAAGTTTTTTCGAAATTATTATTATTTAAGCAAAGTTCGAGCTTTTCAAAGTTGATTAGTGGCTCCTTATCTGGGCGATCAATGTGAACCCGTGGGGTGGGGAAGTGCTAGTACATTCTCACTTTCCCCTCTCCCACCCATCCCATCTACTCTTCTGTTCTTCTTCTTCCTTCTCTCTTCTACTCGTCAGCAGGCCACGTCAGCGACACATCAGCGACACGTCAGCAGACATCCGTGCCCCGTCAGCAGCAGCTAGTGCCACCCGTTTCTGCAGCAGATGCCCGCAGTCACCCCATCACAGACGGGCAACATGGAGCAAAAGCAAGGGGAAACTGCAGAGGCCTACAAGGCCTGCATGTTGGATCAACTAGCAGTATGGAAGAAGAAGGCAGATGCGGCCACTGCCGCAAGGAAACAGCAGGAGGTAGAGGCCAAGCAGCAGGCGCAGACCATCATCGACCTGGTCGACCACGTGCATAGGCTGGAACAACAGCCGGCCGCAGCCACACCTGCCGGACCCTCCAACTTGGTGGATCAAGTCGATGGACATGGGCGTTGTCAAGGATACGGCGAGGCGGCAGCAAGCTACCAACCAACAGTTGGAGCAGCAGATTTGTGCAGCAGCAGCCGGCTCAACCTCGTCACCTCACGAGCGCATACCCAAGTTGGATTGCATCCCGGTCTTCTGCGATGCATTAAAGACCGAGCCAATTCCATGGTGGCGCCAATTCGACCTGCGTTTGGATTTGTACAAAGTAATCGACCCCAACCGGGATGCCTATTTATATCACCGGTCGGGGGGCGCGTGTCAAGCTTGGCTTGACAATATGCTGTCCATGCACAAGGTCACTGTCTCCAAGCTGCACACAAAGATCACTTGGGCTGATCTCAAGGCAGCATGACACACGCTTCAGGCAATGGAGAAGTTGCAGAAGTACCATCAGAACGCCTTGCCAAGCACGGGTTGGATTACCGGGTACAAACGCTTGGCATCCACGTCCGACTTGGCGATCACCTTTACAGGGATCAAACACTACTTCATCACGAGGTCATGCCCGGCATTGCAGAATGCAAGTCGCGGAGACGCTCACCACAAGTGAGTCACTCTTTAACAAGGCCTCGCAGATTATTGTGACGAATACGAAAGCCTGCAATGCTGGTCGTTCATCTTCTGCAGGCCAGGGCAGAGAGTAGCATCTGCCGAAAGTGGCTGTGGTCGTGGAAACAATGTCGAGCGACTATTCTAACGAGGCTGCTTCATCTGACGAGGGAGAAAGATTAGCAGCCGCCTGGGATGGTGGCCGCCCCGCCAAAGGGCAAGAACGTGGCAAACCAAAGACACACACCTCTTCAGTCCCCGGGCCCGGAACAGCAGCTCAAGAACCTTGGCTTCACTACAGTCTCTAGGAAGGCATCTACACGATCCACATGAGACACCATTATTGCTTGTGATGCAACAGCGACGTACACGAAACCGTCGGCTGTCCCGCGAAAGGCAAGGGGAAATCCCTTTCAGGAAAGTGAGCACCGCCGAGAGTGATACGGCTGCACTCTCGACGCCTTCGGAGCCGGTTGCTTCACGAGCGACCTCCCTTAGTTAGGAGGCACATGTGGAAGTCGTAAGTCCTATTCTTCATTCTTTCGAAGACTACGCTGCCAGGCTCGTTCCATCGCTGGGTTCTCTACCTCAAGAACAAGGTGTGTGTGCGGTTTCTTCTCCATTCGGAAGCGGCGACAGTTTATCGTCTTCAAGTGGTTCTTCACGGGATTCGGCACGCAAGTTCAACATAGAGGTCTTGGACCAGTTGTCACCCAGGGATTTTGCATGGCTTCCTCTCCCTTCCATGGGCCGCTTACCAGGACCGCAATGTGAAGCCCTCTGCGCCCATGTCCACACATACTTATTCTTCTATGCACCTTCGACTTCGCCGACGGATGACGAAGTTGCGGTGGGGGACCTCCTTGCATATATTACCAAGGTAGCCCACAAGTTTCGCACGCAGCGGTATGGCGATAACAACGCACCGCTTCTTTATGTCCGCATCCAAGTTGGGCGAGTGTCCTGCAACGCTTTGCTGGATAGCGGTGTGACTCGCATTTTTTTTTTATGTTATTTTTTTCATGAGCCAGTCCTTTATACAAAGGGACAGCCTTGGCGCACAAGTTCGAAGGAAGTCACATCCTACGGCGGTCAAGATGGCGGACGGTCAGACGCAGCAACTTCTTGATCGGTACATCGAAGTCGTGCGGATCTATTTCGCACCTCGTGCATGTGAGCCGGTTACGTTTGACGTCTTGGACATGGACTTCGACATTATTTTGGGGATGCCTTGGCTCGCAAGTGCGTACCACACGGTCGACTTCCCTCGGCATACGCTTACCGTTCGCGACGCCTTTGGCGTCGAGGTGCCATGTACCATCCCTCTTCCGAACCATTCAATCCGATGCCAAGTTGTGACGCCCAAGTCTTTCCGGTCCACTTGCGCTTACGAGCCGACCGACGAGATCGGCCTATGTTTTCTTAGGACGGTTGCAGCGACCGACTCTTCACCTACGGACTTGTCTTCGGACACCCGCGTGGTGCGGTTGCTTGACGAGTTAGCCGACGTCTTCGAGTCTCCTAACGGTGTCGTGCCGGATTGGCAGATCGCCCATGAGATCATTCTTGACGCCGGTGCCGTGTCGTCGAAAGGATGCATCTATCGCATGAGCGAGGAGGAGCTCGCAATTCTCCGCGCGCAACTTGATGAATTGTTGGAAAAGGGTTGGCTCCGCCCTAGTAGCTCACCATACGGTGTGGCAGTTCTCTTCGTAAGGAAGAAGAACAAGGATCTTCGCTTATACATTGACTTCAGCAAGCTCAACACGCACACCATCAAGAATGTGGGGCCTCTTCCTCGTATTGACGATCTTCTTGAGTGCTGGGGCGTGCAAAATATTTTCCAAGTCAGACTTGAAGTCGGGCTGTCATCAGATTTCGATACGCCCGCAAGATCGCTGCAAATCCGTGTTCAAGACGCGGTACGGGCATTTCGAGTAGGTTGTCATGCCTTTTGGCCTCACCAATGCCCCGACAACTTTTCAAGCGGCGATGACCAACGACTTTAGTGGGATGTTGGACCGGTTTGTGCTGGTCTACTTCGATGACATTCTTGTCTACAACCGGACCTTGAAGGACCATCTCGATCATCTTCAATGCATGTTGGAGACGCTCTCTTGCACCAAGTACAAAGCCAACCGTGACAAGTGTGAATTTGTACGGCAAGAGTTGGAGTACTTGGGCCATTTTGTCACACCAGAGGGCATTAGTCCGTTATCGGACAAGATTCAAGTCGTCCAAGAGTGGCCAAAGCCAAAGAACGTTACGGATGTCCGTTCGTTTCTTGGCCTAGCCGGCTACTATCAACGCTTTATCAAAGCTATTCGAAGATCACGGCCCATTTGACCAAGCTTCAATGCGAGGATCTATCGTTCGACTTCGGTGACGATGCGCGGGCTTCCTTTTTGGCCCTCAAAGCCGCCTTGCTATCCGTGGAGGTTTTATGCATCTACGACCCGCTTTCGCCAACACGCGTCGCTACCGATGCGTTCGGCTATGGCGTTGGTGCCGTCCTCTAGCAACACGATGGTGAGGACTGGCACCCGATCGAACACTTTAGTAAGAAAGTGTCCATCGTGCATTCGATTAACGACGCACGGAAGAGTTATTAGCCTTCGTACATGCGCTTAAGCAGTGGCGACATTTTCTTCTCGGTCGAAGTTAATTCCGATGGGTAACAGATAACAATCCGTTGCTTTTCTACAAGACCCAATATACGGTCAATAGCACCATCGGTCGCTGGATGGCTTTCATTGACCAATTTGATTTTTTCCCCGATCACATCCCGAGAAAGTCAAACCGTTTTGAGGACGCTCTTTCACGGCGCCCGGACATTTGTACTACGGTCTACTCGACGTTCGAGATTGACGACGACTTGCGGGACAGCTTCATCCGCGGCTATCAAGTCGACTCCGCGTTTCGCAACAAGTACGCGAACTGCTCCTCTCCAAATCCGGCAATATCGCACTATCAGATCCACGAGGGCTATTTGCTAGTCCACTCGCGGAGGAAGGATTTTCTTTGCGTGCCAAGTGATCCACACTTGCTTACGCGGCTTCTTGGCGAGTTCCACGACGCTCGCACCACCGAACACTTTAGAGTCGATCATACGATTGGCCGACTTCGCAAGCGCTTTTGGTGGCCCGACCTTCTCGGCAACGTCCCACGCTATTGCGAGTCATGCGAGGTTTGCCGGCGTTGCAAATCCAACCACTGCCCGTACGGCGA